TACAAATTGAACTGCAAATGGAGGAAACATCAAAAATTCATCGCGGAAGCTGTGCTAGCAGAAAATTTGTCAATTGTGAACCGTCATCATCGTCACGTTGGCGAGTGAGACAACGAATTGTTGAGTATCGTCAACAAGATTTCAAAAGTTCAGCAAATATTCGCTCGATTTGTCGTCGAGAAGTGCTTCCGGATTCAGATTCAGAATCCTCTTCCGGTTCGTCGCCGACAGATTCTGCTGCTGACGGTGTTGAGGATGGTGACGGCAATGAGCCGAAGACGTACAGTGATGTGGCCGATAAGACTGTGCGCTCGCCTGTTCGCATAGCCAGTTGTAGCTGTGAACTTGTGTTCACTTCGAATGCCGAATCAAGGCATGCATCGGTGACGCTGATCATTACGATGGTAGTTCAATCAGTTTTTGAATTGTTTGCTTTGATTTAATGTCGATGTTGGCTTGAGTCGGTGCTTACTTCTTTTATACGTGAATTACGTTTAGAATTGAAATCTTTTTTTTGTTGAATAGGCGAATTTTGAATGATTAACGTTACGGTGATGTTAATCTATTTCATCTATTGAAGGCGATAGTAGGGCAAGAAAGTGCAACTTTTGAAATCGATTTCTATTTAGCATTTTCATTTGTAACGTATTAGTTGTAGTAAGTCAGTGTGGTTCTTGGGCATTATTTAGAACTGGGTGAAATCAAATAAATGCCTTTCACACACTTTGAATACGTTCAGAATATTCGCATACGTATGTATGTACTTTTATACATATAATCCAACAGTATTTTTGTCGCAAATGTGTTGAAGTGTACATATATCTATTGATATATGTGCAAAATTATCTGAAAAACATGTTCACTAGTATTTGTTTTATGTTTTGTAACACAATCAAAGTAGTGCGCGTGAATTCTGTCAAAGTTATTCGCTGTACACAGTGCTTGTGTGTCTTCTTTCTTCAATTAATCGAAATACTTGATGTATGGATGATGTATCTTTTTCGAATGTTTGAGTGATTGCTTATTGGAAGCAACAGTTGTTCTGGACTTTCATTGATACAAAGAGCTCAATCAATCCTCACGAGTTCATCAATCCATCTATCTGTCCATCTGCAAATCTCTTCAGTTGTTTCCGCTGGAGCAGTTNATGATTGCAGAATCCAAGAGGTGTACGTAAAGGATCGTTACCAGAACGCACGTACAACGGTGGTGCTGCTGAGAGCTTTGTTGGCAAATCACACACAAAAGCATCGTATCGCATTCAGAAAGCGTTCAGTGTTAACGAAAACGAAATTTCAATGGCGGATGCTGCAGGCGATGATCATCTGCCGTCTGATGCGGTGAATGAAAATCTGATCGGAAAGGAAGATAGTCCACCGTCGGTGGCGCTCGTTGAGCCGTCAGAATTTGACGGTGCCGAAGGCACGGGTGGGTGTGCTGTGGTTATTTGTTGTTATTGTGCTCGTTACGGTCGCCATTTCGATTGTTATTTTCAATATCTGAAAAATGCAGCTTACTTTCAATAGTTATTTTCAATAGTTTCAATAGTAATGTG